CCCCCCCCCCCCGCTCACTTGTACACCACCCTGAGATGAGGAGCACCCGACGGATGGAGGGGATGGCCACGAGGCCGTCCGGACGCTGTGACCGCACGCCCTCCAGTTCACCCCCACCCCGCGCTCCATTCAACATTCACTTCTAACGTTACGGAAAATGTCAAAACAGCCCAACGTGAATATAAGAAAACCAAAGTTACTGTTTGTTTCTTACATACACGTTTGAAACTGGATAAGCCACATCATTATTTTATACCCAAATCTCAATTATCGACTGCCACCCATACTCAGCTTAGCCTATTTCCCCACAGTCTAAAATCTGGCCAGCCCAACTTCCGCAATTCTAAACGTATGACCCTTGAAGACCGTATTAAATTCCACCCCATCTACCGGGACGAGTGAATCCCAGCTGTACGCTCCACCTTTTATGTCTCGATCCCTTAGCCACCTCTTCCACAAAGTGGAAAAACACCCTGGCAACCCACCCAGCGAGTCCCATGCAAGGCCACCTCAGGGAGACACCTCAGGAAGCCGGAAGCTTCGCGAGTCTCAACAAACCCCAAGAGCAAAGAGGCATCCAGACCTGGAGGACGTAGACGGGCATGACAGCAAGCAGGGGTTGGGAGACAGGAGGCTGCGGGCCGGGCGCCAACGGGAAGACCACGTGCCCTGAGGGGTCATCCTGGGAAGGCAACCGCACACGGCTCAGTCACCTTGGCCCGAGGAGTCCCTCTACCTTGAGACACAGCAGAACCAGCGCAGCCGCCTTCCAGGGACGGCCTGAGGCCCAGCAGTGACCAGAGCCCTCCCCCAAGCCCAGCTCGAGGCCCAGCTACATGGCCCCGCGGCCCGAGTACACAGAGGTGCTCAAAGAAGCTGGGTCAGAGCTACACATCCTCAGCGTTTAAACCTCTTCTCTCCCAAAACCCTTCCAAATCATCTTCCAGCCCCTGGAAAGCGAGGCTGAAGGTGACCGTGTCCCCAGAGCCATAGAGGTGGGAGCAGCTGCAGGTCCCTGCTGGCCCGGGCACAGCCCAAGAGGTGGCTGGCCCTGCCCTGAGGAGCTCAGTGCGGCAGAGAAAATAAGAGGGAAACAAGCTCAGCACCATTTCCACACAGGCCACCTCCTCCGGGTGCACCCTGGCACAGGATGAGCATGCTGCCTTCACCCAGCCCCGTGAGGAGAGAAGCCAAGTCCAGGGGACCCAGCAGCACAAGGAGCCAGACGCACTGCCAGTTATCTGTGGTGCGGCCACGGGACCTCGGGCAGGAGCGGGATGGAGTGCAGAGGGCAGGCTGCAGGGGAGCTGGACACGGGGAATGCGAATCCAGCCCGAGGGGAAGTGTGGACACAGCGGAGTGACGGACAGGAGGGGTGCAGGACGGGGCGGGACAGCTCACGGGCTCTTACCTGCAGCAGCTGGACCTGGACGCACGGCAGAGCCACGCCGGGCACTGCGAGGCTGCCCCACAGCCAGGCTCCCGGGCCAGCATGGACGTCACCATCCCCCGTGCTCAGTGCGGGCCCCGCGGCTCCTGAAACACACAAGGCCCCCAGACTCACGGCCACTCAGCCAGAGGGAAGGGGCCGAGACCAGGCCTCCGCTTAGAAGCTGAGCAAGGCTCTCGTGTCTTCCGCACAGACGGCTCAGGCCACGCCGTCCTCAAGGGTGGACTCCTCCTCACCCTCGAAGCCTGGGGCACTCGGGGTCCCTGACACACGGAGCACGACCAAGCTCACAGAAAAAGAAGGGAGGGAAGCTTGCTGCATCCCCCCAACGCCCCCCTGCCGGCACCTCAGCACCTGCTAAATGGCTTTCTGTCCAGCTTCCTTCGCAAAAATCATCACTTTGATTTCACAACAACATGCTTTTTTAAAAAAAATTAGGCACAAAGAAGAAAGAAAACATCCTAACACCGAGAAAGGGTTTTTCTGACACAGGAGCCCTGGATTCAACCCTGATTCCACCACCAACTCTCCCTGACCCTGGACAGGTGAGCTGAGCTCTGGCCTGGGGGTCCCACTGCAGAGTGTAGGGAGGATGTGCTCAGCGTGCAGGACCGAGCCCAGTGCAGAGCGAGCACCCAGGGGTGGAGGCGCTGTCACTGCTGGGCAGACACAGGCACGTAACGGCCTCA